AGAGAGAGAGAGAGAGGCAGATACAAAGAGGAGGAGAAGAGGGAAGAGAAGGAGAAAGAATATTATAGTCTGGTACATGGGCAAATCCCATCTGTCCTACCTCAGGTAGTGTCTGCTGGACAGAAACTAAGGTCCAAGTCAAAGCCACACAAGTGTGTGGTAAATTGGCAGCTTCTCTGTGAATATCCCTCCTTCCAATGATTTCAACTGCCAAAAGGTTAGCTCTCATCCATTTTTCCCTGATCCTTTAGACCCTGCTCAGCATCTGGAGTCTGGAAAGCTCATTTCTGCCATTGAGTTGGCGGCTATGTGTGTCCCTCACTGTCTCAGAGGTTACCCTCACTGTTCCTCTTACAAAATTATATAGTTTTGTAAGGAAGTGGCAAATCAATTTAAAAATGATTAAAATTACAAATAAATAAAGGACAGTCCATTCAGAAGGATACAGTGAGTCCAAAGTCATTTTATTAAAATGACCGAGGTCCTGCAAAATTTGGCAAGTCACTGACACATCTCTCTGCCCTTTTTTTCTTAATTCTCATTTTGCTTCAGCCACATTGATATCGGTTTTCCTCCAACATGTCAAGAAGTCTGAATACAGTCACCAGTACATATACATATGCAGGATTCAGTGAGGGTAACCCTAATTATCCCATGCAAAACAAGTACCACTTCCATCCCTCTCCTTTACCCTTTCTCTATCTTACTTTTCTTTATGACACATACTACCACTTGCTACACTAAAAATTTATTGTTTTGATTGTCCCCTGCTCTCCCAACTCCACCAGAAAGTAAGCTTTATGAGAACAGAACCAAAGAATGAATGAGTAAGTGAAATGAATACTTTAGAAAAAATACACGGTAAGTCCATCGTTCTACTAATGTTTATTGAGAACTTACTGTAAACTAAACACCATATTGAAAATACTGCACATTATACATACATATTTTGTTAAATCCTTGTATAAATATGAAACATAAATTAATTTTTAAAGAAGAGGGTGGGTGGGTGGGTTGGATAGTCTCATAAAGACACGTTTCTGGGGCCTCTCCTGGTGGCACAATGGTTGAGCGCTGGGCTATGAAGCTGCCTGCAGCTTCTGCAGCGCCGGTTTGATCCCTGGCCACCGGAGAGGGTCCCACATAGCGCGACAGACCTCTCCTGCCGTGCCCGCTGGTCCCCTCAGCAGTGTATTTCGTCAGTCTGCCTGTTCTGTTCCCCGCTCTGGCTCTGGTGAATTCGCTCCTGCTCCCGCGCTTCTGACTGTACCCAGTGCTTGTATAAATAAATAAATAAATCTTAAAAAAAAAAAAAAAGACATTTCTGAAGGCAGAGCACACTGCCCCTCCATTTACTGCTCCATGCACCCTCGCAGAGACAGACACCCACACCGCTCCATGATTATTTTTTTTTCCTCTAAGGAATTTGGACTGGGGGTTCAATGAAACTAGTCATTCTTTATTGCTCTTCTGAACAGGTGAGGGAAGCATAAACATCTTCAGAGAGGGCAATTCCTTTATTCTTCTGTTACAGACTGCAGGGTTCTCCTTTGTAGGTTCTGGCTCCATGTAAAAGAATTTAACAAGAAGGCAAGACAGACAGCATCCAGACAAGACTTATTAGATTAGACTCATGCATAAGGGAAGAAGCCTGGAAAGGAAAGTTTTGGGGCTGTCTGCCTGAGGGGAGCTGTAAAAGAGATAGAGGGGGATGTGGCCATAATGTATATGGGCAGGGCTACTCTGTGTATCCTGTTTCTTCATACATTGTTATGTTTTACTAACATCTTAGCTTTTCATCCAGGAGTGTGTAATGAGATCCTGATTGTTGTCTGGGCCTCTGTTAACTTTGCACACAGGTCCAGGGCCTCCACTCCTTTCAAGGATATTTGGCTTCAATCAAGACTTTTGCCAAGATATATGGTCAAGATTTGGCAAGAGATTGGTGTTGAAATATACCCATTTGTTAATCTGATGGGGCATATCAGGGTTGCTGAAACAAAATGTGAGGGATTACTGCCAACTAGGATACAACCCATCTGTTTGAAGCTGGGTACAAAGTAACTCCCCCCCTTCTGTCAGGTGAAACTTCAAAGCAAAAGGCCAGGAAATACATCAGTTGTTAAAGCAAATATAGCTTCTTCCCACCAACTCACAGTTTAATTAAACTAGACTATTTTACTTCCATAAACACCAAGTTGGTCATCAGGACCCAGGACAGCCTGCAGGTTCTAGCTCAGGACTTCTGACCTCCTGTGGGGCTGTTATAGACTATGACCCAAAAGAGTGGGTCCTTTGCCCTCTCCAGAAAGAATTAACCAGAGAATTCTAGTGCAGTTGTAATAGGCAAGGCTTTATTAGAGGTTCATGCACCAGGGAACCACTGCTGGAAATGAAAATTAGCCTGCCTCCACAAAAGAAGTTAGGAGGAGCTATTTAAAGGAGGCAAGGCAGAGGAGAGCAGACTCATAGTTTTGTTCTGGGTTGGGCTATGCCTGAGTGTTGGAGACCCCTAAGGCATAAAGTGCTGAGACAAGGAAAACATCAGGGTGGTGGCTGGAAGACTGGGCATGGCTAAAAGACTGATCAGCTCGGGTCGGAAGACTGCCCTGTGTACAGATTGGGGTGTTCTTTCTTTTGTCTGCGAAACTATGTCTGGAGGACAAACTAGATTAGAAAAGAAACAGAATATGATCCAGCAATTCTACTTCTAGGTATTTACCCAAAGGACACAGAATCATTAATTCAAAAGGACACCTGCAACCCTATGTTTATAGCAGCACTATTTACAATAGCTAAGCTATGGAAACAACCCAAATGCCCAAAAATAGATGACTGGATCAAGAAGATGTGGTACATATACACCATGGAATATTACTCACCATTCAAAAAAGATAAACGCATGCAATTTGCAGCAACATGAATGGAGCTGGAAGGGATCATGTTCAGCGAAATAAGCCAGAAAGAAAAAGAAAAATACTGGATGGTCTCACTCATAACAGGAATCTAGAAAACCTAAATAAGGGACCAGGAAAAAGACTAATTATAATAAAGTAAAAATCAAAATCAACAAGCAACTATAAACCAAAGACTCGCTGGGGGGTTAGCATGGGGGAGGAGGGATTAGGTTCAAAATAAGGGGGGGTTGGGAATTGTATGGGGAATATAACCAAGATGAAAATGCATACATTGTGCAAAAATGAAAAATGATGTAAATATATATATAAAAATAATAAAAAAGAAATTTTAAATATATATATATATCTACAATATGTATAAAAGAAAAGAAACAGAATAACCTGATTGTACAGAAACTTGGCGGTGAATGTGTGCCTAAATGTGTGCCCAGACAAGGCCAAATGCTAAGAGAATGCTTTATTGTCTAGTAACTAACCAGGAGGGAGGGGAGCAGTTTTTATCAATAAAAACAAGTTACACTGGGCACTCAGGACACTTGAGCACCAATGAGAAGCCTTGCACCCTGAGTCCTGCTTCTCTTAAACTCTATTTTGTGTCTGTCATTTCTATTTCCTCGGTTCAGTCGGATTCCTCCTCAACCCTGTTCACCTGAGCTGGGATCCAGCACCTGGGCACATGCACACACAGATTACATTCCAGAAGGGTTACTTTTCAACTAAGCACAGGGGTTTTTGGCCTTCTCCCTCCAGGAAATTTTGAAGTAATCATTTGTTAGGATCTAACACTCTTTGTTTAGCAAGGCGCCTTATGGTACCTGTGGTGGGTTAAATTGTTTGGACAGGATGTTGGGACAGGACTCTTCAGTCCATGACTTAGTCCACCTACTCAAACAGGACTTGGGGCTGCAAGCTCTATGGCAATTTCTTTTACCTAGGGCTGTACTGGGGCCTTGTTAGGGACTGCGCAGGAACAGCAGTGCAGCACTTGCAGAGTGTGGTCACATTCACAACCTATATTTGACTCGTACTATATTTTTCATGCTATTAGAGAAAAGGCCAAGTGCAAAATATATTCTGTTCTAAATCAAGTACCTACCTCTATACCTGCTAGATGTAGGTTGAGGTTTTAGAGGCAATCGCTGCCAGTGAAAGACTTTGACAGGCCCCTAACAGGCCCTATCTATCATTACTTTACATCAGGACAGGAAGGACAATTGGCAGGGCTATGGGTCCAGTCTGGGACTTTCACTGTCCTTGTGAGATGGGAGTGCCATTTAGGCTACAGGTGAGTCATTACAGCTTCCTGGGAAGGGGAAATGTTTTAGAGGGAGGTCCTCATCCAACCCTATGGATAGCACATAGTAGGAACAGAAGAAGGTCATAAATTATATGAATGAGTGAAAGCGTAAATTAGTGAGTGACAGAGTGAAAGGACATGTTGGTTTCCACTTGGGAGAGAGGAGGTGGGGTGTGAGCAGCCACTGCAGTAGATTTGACTGCCCACAGTTTTATCTAAGCGGGGCCTGGGCGGGAGGGCGTGGCTCGCAAGGAGGTGGGGCTATGGGGCGGGGGCCACGTGGAGAGCACAGCCGGGCAAGGTGGTCGCCTACGTAGGGAAGAGGCGGGGCTCTGAGGGCTCGCGAGGGGCGGAGGGAGCGGCGAGGGCACGCCCGTTAAAGGGCGGGGCCAGGAGGGGGCGGGGCCAGGAGGCACTGCGGAAGGAAGGGCCGGTGACGCGGGCGGCGGGAGTGACGCGGGCGGCGGGAGTGACGCGGGCGGCGGGAGTGACGCGGGCGGCGGGAGTGACGCGGGCGGCGGGAGTGACGCGGGCGGCGGGAGTGACGCGGGCGGCGGGAGTGACGCGGGCGGCGGGAGTGACGCGGGCGGCGGGAGTGACGCGGGCGGACCCGCGCCCTGGATGGCTGCGCCGTAGGCAGAGCACCTCCGCCGGCTGAGAGCGCCAGCGCCGGGCCCGACACTCTGGGAACCGCGGCGGCGGCCGGCGCTGCTGGGAGCGGGTGGGGCCGGGGCGCCGAGGCCCGGGCTGCTGGGAGGGAGGAGGGGACGCTCAGCCCCCGCCACCTCTCAGCCCGGCGCCCGCCGGCGAGCCCCGCCTCTGCTGCTCGGCTGTGGGGCGCGGGCACCAACCCGCGCTCGTCTCCTACACGTTCCCGCGTCCCCCTCACACCCACCCACTGCTTCCCCGTAAACATCCAGCTCCCGACTGCCTGCTGTCCGTCCTCGGGGTCACCTTTACGTTCGCGTTCTGCCTGAGCTGGCCCGGACAGCGCGGGCCACGGGTTACGCAGCAACCTCTTGGGTGAGTGGGACTGGGAAGAGAAAGCGTCTTTCTCCCCCGCACTCCCCCCACCTCCCGCAAAATCCTATTTCCTGGTTTGCCACCGTCTGCGTCCTCTTGCCACTCAGTCCCCCCGCCTCCCAAATGGTTCCCACAGGGCCTCATCTGGCCAACTCGCTGTGCACTAGTCACGCCTCCCCTCGCGACCTCTCCCCAAGCTGCTGGTCCTGCTTTCTTCCCTACTTTACCTCTATCCTGCTCCATGCGGACCTGGCCTCTGTACCTCTTTACCCCAGCCCAACCTAACCCCAGCTTACCTTGAGCCCCTGCACCACTTTTGGCTCCAACTCCTGTCTCTAGCGGTCCAGCTCATCTCATTTCTCTGTTTTCATCTCCTAATGCCACCGGATGAGAGAATGGGGCCGAGGCCCTCAGCCTAATCCGATCCTTCCATCAAAACAGGCAGATAAACTAGCAGCCTGCCTGCTGGCCGCTGCACCACCCGCAAGAATCAGAGCAATGGGCCAAAGGGTCCTGCCCTCGGGCCAGGCTGGCAAACAAGCTCTTGAGACTCTCTGGTCAAAACTGAAAAGAGGAATCCATGGATACCAGTGAGGGCAGGCAAGGTCATTGGTTAGAGAAAGCATGAAATAGTGCTTTCTTTCTGGGACGTGCCTGGGATGGGGTCAATATATAGGTTTTAGCACTGGAGTTTGAGAACACAGGACTTAAACTTTATTGGCTGAGAAAGCAAGGAGGGTGGACTGGCTAAAGTTCATTACTGTTGTTGATCGTGGGCACGAGTCAGCTACAGCTGGGTTGGAGGGCTCCTGACCATCTCCACCTGCACATCTCCTGGCTACTGTCCTGTGTGCAGTGCTCTAGGTTGAACGTCTCTGGTCTGTGACTCTTTCTTCTGGGTCTTTTAACTCCTCTTTCCCTCATAGTAACCACCAGGATAAGCTGTGGAAAGATAACTCAGGAAATAGATGGCAGCAGGTGTCCAGGCCTAAAGCTATCACATTTTTAAAAATTATTTTTATATAATTTTTATGTCTTTCTTTCTCTTTCTTTCTTTCTCTTTCTTTCTTTCTTTCTTTCTTTCTTTCTTTCTTTCTTTCTTTCTTTCTTTCTTTCTTTCTTTCTTTCTTTCTTTCTTTCTTTCTTTCTTTTCTTTCTTTTCTTTTCTTTTCTTTTCTTTTTTTTTCTTTTTCTTTTCTTTTTCTTTCTTTTCTTTTCTTTTCTTTTCTTTCGCTTTATCATCTCAGGTATAGCCCCCATGGAATTCCCACCACCAATTCACACGTGTACCATCACCATAGTCCCTTATGCTCTTCCCACCCGTTTTGATGCTACTACCTTCTCCCTGCTCTGCAGAATGTTTCTGGTTTATAGTTGCGTGTTGATTTTGATTTTCACTTTATTATTACTTCCCCCCCCCACCAACCCTTATTTGGCTGTCACATTTTTTTTTTTTAAGATTTATTTATTTATTTATACAAGCACTGGGTACAGTCAGAGGCGCTGGAGGGTGAGAGAATTCACCAGGGCCAGAGCAGAGAGTAGAACAGGCAGAGTGATGAATTACACTGCTAAGGGAACAGTGGGCGCCAGGAGAGGTCTGCATGGCAAGTGGGACCTTCGCCTGCCCGGCGGGTGGTGATCGAACCAAGAGGTAGAAGCTGTGGACAGCTTCCAGGGAGGCCCCTAGCTGTCACATTTTTTAACTACTTGTTTGCCAGCCAGTGAGAACAATAAATTTGAATGGCAAATTATTGCAAAGTTTTTCCTTGAGTCCCGTCTGGTCCCCGGGCCCTCTCTAGATTACTAATAGAATTCTACAGGGCATGAAACAAGGACTTTTACATGAGGAAAGAAAGGACTGATCATAGAGTCAAGAGATTAAAAAAAGTAACATAAAAGTTGAAGAGGGTGATGAGAAGAGATTTAATTCCTATGCTATTTGTTTCCTAAAATAAGTAGGAACCTGAAAAAGAAGCAATGTATAATTTTTTTTTAAAGGTGTAAACCTTTGAATGCTTCCTAGAAAGTGAACATTTATTTTTATTGAGGTCTTTAGAATGCAAATATGCATGTACTCCATAAACTAATTTTACTACATTGTGTTGTCGTTTTTTGGAGTCTGTGGGTTTGGAGTGCGGGGTCCTTGGGTTCACTCTGGAAAAGGTTTCACCAGAGCTCCCATTTCAGCGACACGCAGCGAGTTTCCCAGGCAAGTTTCTCCATGAGACAGAGACATTAGTTATATTTAAAGGGCAGGTTTATTAGGGAAGAGATAAAACAGTGAAAGACACTTGCATAGACACAAGCAGGTTGGAAGAGCTGTCCCAAAAGGGACAGGTTTGCTAAGAGAGGCCTACATGGTTGCAGGCGGGTGGCCTTGACAGGTCACCAGCAGTCAGGAAGGCTCCTGCCCTGCAGAGAGAGAGAGAGTTGGTGAAAAGAGGCACCTGCATAGTGGGTAGTGCGATTGCTGCCCCAGCCAGTGCAGAGTCGGCACGGATAGTCTTCTTTTTGGGAGGGGCCACTCCTTGGGAGCTATCATCAGTTGGTTGCTAATTTTGGATAACTATGCAGAATTTGAGAGGGACCTGGAGATTCTACAATGGGCTCAATCTCCAAATCTTTACCTTTGGGGGTCTGTTGGACTCAATCTCCATATCTTTAGACTGTGCCTCGGGATACTAGTGTGGTCCCTCAGGGTACTAGTTTCTGCAACTGGTTATGCTAATCTCTTCTGCCCCCACCTCCTTGTGTGAGCCAGGGTTCTGGTCTTGCAGTACCTCCTTTTTTAGTTTTTCTTTCTATTCTTGTCCTTCATCATATTCTTCTTATAAATCTAAGATGCAATTACAAATGGCTTAGATTTAGAACCCCAACTCTCCTGAACAACTAGCTGTGCAGCCAGTAGATATCATTAAAATAAACTTGATTTTTTAAAAGATTTATTTATTTATGCATACAAGAACTGGGGTGTAGGCCAGAGGTGCAGGTGGGTGGGTGAGAGGATTCACCAGAGACAGAGTGGGGAGCAGAACAGGCTGATTGACCCAAATACACTGCTGAGGGGAGCAAGGGGCTAGAGAGGAGAGGTCTGCTGCACCATGTGGGTTGGGCTCCTGCTTAGTAGAAGCTTCAGCTTCGCAATGCTGATGCTTAACCCATTGGGCCACCAAGGAGGGAGGCCCCTACAATTGATTGTTAATTGAAGATTTGTTTCAACAATATTCCTAATCCTCTGGAACATATAATTATGTCTCACTGAGACTTTAAATTGTGAAAGATGATCAGATTATTACAAAATCATGATTTAAGGGTGGGAAAGAAATGACCTTTTTTATATGTGTTTCCGAAATTTCATTTGTACAGATTTCAAATAGAAATGTATGTTTCTGATTCTTAAATTTCTTCTCTAAAAAAATCCTGAAATTCACTGATAATTTAATTATGGCTTTTATCTTGGCAGGTTTTTAAGAACAAAATCTTTGTATCATCAATACTATTTGCTTATTCACCAACCTCCTATATTGTAATGAACCTAAATATTATTATATGCTAGGCTTCATTTTTTGATATTTTGAAGGAAACAAAAGTCATAGATTTCATCTGTTTGATTACCTCAATGATTCTATTATTATACTACCTCTCTCCTCCCCAAAAAGCATTAATATGAGCATTTCATTTGTACAAGTATTTGAAACTTGGAAGGGGGCTATAAATATATATAGGTGTTGCGATATATATATATATATATATATATATATATATATATATATATGGCTGTGTGGGGACCGTCTTTATAATTACTGAAAATACCAATCAGGCAATTTTTTAGTGCTAAGTTCTAAAGAGGGTGATTCCATTTCAGGTCTAAAGTGTTGTCACTAATGGCCCCTAGGGTGGGCAACAGGTGTTAGAAGTCACAGACATGAAAGTTTATTTTCCAGAATCGCTTTTTCTGTGCTAGAAGATTCTATTTCTATCCCAACTCTGTGTCTGCGAGTTTGAAAACAAGGGTATATTGAGTTCTTGGTTAGCATCAGCAGTCACCTTCTTTCTCATCTTCTGTGACCCTGCAGGGCAGGCTGTATTGTCTTTTCCATCCTTTTCCCTCCACCTTCTTCATTCTTGATCAGGACCTAACCTAATCAGAAGGAATTTTATAAGATTGCTAGAAATGTTTGTGCTACGTTGCCTGACAGCTGTTCTTACTTCTCTGGTCATTTAGTTGGTGCTTTCAACCATGACATTATCTTGTTTTTTAATTACAGGTAGAAATTCAGGAGGCATGAGGTTCAGAGACCTGTTTTAAGTTCTGGGAGCAAGTCAATTATGGGGTTGTGATGGAGCTTTAAAAATTCTTAGCAGGGCCTCTCTGGTGGCACAGGGGGTTGAGCACAGCTCTGTGATGCTGTCCGCAGCTTCTGCAGCACGAGTTTGATCCCCGGCCAGGGAGCTACCCACATGGCGCAGCAGACCTCTCCTGTCTGGCCCACTGCTCCCCTCAGTTAGTCTGCCTATTCTGTTCCCCACTCTGTCTCTGGTAAATCCTCTCACACACACACACCCCACACCTCTGGCTTGAACCCCAGTTCTTCTATGCATAAATAAATAAATCTTAAAAAAATAAATCCTTAGCAAAGACTAAGAATTTCTTTGAAATAAATTCCAAAAATTTTCTTCTAGGTGAGGGTTAAAGATGAAGAAAGGGAAGGTGCTTCTCCCACTATTATTACTAGGAAAAACTGATTATGGAGTATTGACGAGGGAAGAAATTTTAAAATGTTGAAAGTAGATGTTTGTTCGAGAGGCTTCTGAAGAAGCTGCCGTATCAAGTGGAAAGACCACTGACTTGATGACAAGATAGTGTATCCTATTCTTGATCTGCGGCTAACCCACGGTGTGAATGAATGTTCCCGGAATCCACTCTTAACAGTTTCTCTTCAGCCGTCCATTTTTCTGTCTCTGTTACAGTTTAGTTGAGCTAATAATTTTTAAAAAGTTGTCCTGTCCTTCTATTTTGAAGCTGCCTTTAATATCTTTGTAGGTTAGGAGGTGCCTGGTTGAAGCATTTAAACATATATCTGCTTCTCTTACTCTCACCCACAACTCTATCCACTTCTTAGCCAAAAATAAGCATGTGATGTGGTTACACTTCCTCATATACCTGTGTGGGTTCTGTTTTCCTCTGCATACCCTGTGGGGAGAAGGCAAAATAAGTAATTCAGACATCCATACATATCTGAGCAGGCCAGACAACAGCTTCGTTCTGTGCTCAATTCCTTGTTTCTCAGGGAATGCTGAAAACAAGTAGATACTTCATAATCTTTGAGAGAGGTTTTTACTAGACAGGGCTATTGAGATTGCCCTTGTTCACTTAAACTATTAGTTCAGTGAATTAATCAATTTAATAAATTTCCTTTGAATTTTACAGCTACCCAAAATAGTCATGTTAGTCTAGGTGTGCCCAGTTTTCACTGATCTAAGTTTCGGTTAAGTTTAGTGGTAGGCAAAATCAGAGCACAGATAACTCACACTGTGTAATGGTGAGTGATAGAAAGGCCCCCTCACATGTGGTGTGTATCATGCTTTAGTCTAAAGTGTCTGAGAAAATGTGCCTCTTAGCCACTTTGACTGTCCTACCTCTGGCACTAGTACCTCTAGTGCCACACAGATTTTCTGCATGTGGACTGTAACAGGTTATGTTCAAAGTTAACAGCAGTGCCTTCCCTACCATTTTCTATCCCTTTAAAACAAGAAGAGTGTATATTCATCTTGGTAGAGGATGTTTAGATAGAACTTTAATCTTGAGATACAGTTATTTAGGGTTTGGCAAAATGCAAATCACTGTGTTCATATTTTAGAAGTATTTACGTTGAAATCGTATAAACCCAGGAATTTTCCTTTTTAACTTAGACCCAAAAACACACATGTGCCTATGTACATTCACAAAAAGATTTGTTATCAGTACATGTTCCTTTCAGTAAAATGGTAGTCATTTCACTAAATTAATACTTTTTATAATAACCTAACTGGTTTATTCAGTTGAAATAGCCTCATGTTATTACTATGAGATCCTGAGGGTGGTTGGAATGTAGAAAAGTCTTCTATTCAGCTATTCTAGACTCACCCACAGACTTTATTCCTAATTATGACAGTGTCTATATAGTACATAATCTGTGTCTATAAAAACAGTGGAGCCACACAATTCTTGTAGTCCAGCCCACAGTTGATACAGTTCTGTCAAATACTGGTTTTCTTAAAAGCAAATGTGATAGAATTGCATTATGTAATTTTGTGTGTGTGTGTTATGGGGGTAGGTGGATGTTATGTCCCTTCATTACTGATCTCCTGATTTGGGGGAGGTATTTCTCTGTCAGTCACTAAAAAAAAAAATTGAAAAAGTATTTAATAACTTGCTTTTATAGATTTGTAGCCTAATGACAAATCAGGCTCCAGTGGATTATAATTGATGTTATATAAAATTACTTTTGTACTATTTACAGTTGCATTCTTTCTTAAATTTTCTTTCAGAGTTTCAGTCACAAATGCATATGTGATACATTTTTACTTTTGCCAATAAGATGAAATGCAGAAATGAAAATACACAACCATTGGACATGATTCAATATGCTTTATCTTCTACTTTATGATACTAATTAATAAGGAAAAAAAAGTATCAACAGAAGGTCCTTCTGTTTAACTTCTTGGATGAGCTGGAACATCAAAGGAAGATTTCTTATAGCCCATTCACACCTCAGTTGAACCTTCAACCCTGGTTCATGAGCACTTTCTCACCAGCCACATTGTCACCAGATGCTTCATCTTCCAGGATGGCTGACTGTCTCCCCACAGAGTTTGATGTGGTTGTAATAGGGACGGGTTTGCCTGAATCCATCCTTGCAGCCGCCTGTTCAAGAAATGGCCACAGGGTTCTGCATATTGATTCAAAAAGTTACTATGGAGGAAACTGGGCTAGTTTCAGCTTTTCAGGACTGCTTTCCTGGTTGGATGAGTATCAGCAAAACAGTGACTTTGGGGGAGAAATTACTGCTGCATGGCAAGATCTGATCCATGAAACAGAAGCAGCCATTGCTCTTTGCAGGAAGGATGAAACCATTCAACACAGAGAAGTTTTTTGTTATGTCAGTCAGGATACAGATGATAATATTGAAGAGGTTGATGTGCTCCAGAAAAATCCTTTCCCGGTGGCATCTAGCACCCTCTCTAAACCTCTGGGTTTTGCAAACTTATCTAAAGAAACACACTCATCATACATCTCAAGCTACAAAATGCCTGCCAAAGACTGTCCAAAAAGTGATGGAGAGATTTCACCAGAAATAACAGATGTAGAGGAAACCCTGGCAGAAGAGTATTGTGGAGATAAAACATGTATACATACAGCTTTAGATGGGGCTATAGATGAAAACAAACCTGTAATGGAAGACAATACTGATCAATCAAAGAAAAATAGGATTACATACTCTCAAATAGTTAAAGAAAGCAGGAAGTTTAATATTGATTTGGCATCAAAGTTGCTATATTCTCAAGGATTGCTAATTGATCTTTTAATCAAGTCAAATGTTAGTCATTATGCAGAGTTTAAAAATGTCACTAGGATTCTTGCATTTCAAAATGGAAAAGTAGAGAAGGTGCCTTGTTCCAGAGCAGATGTCTTTAACAGCAAAGAACTCACTATGGTTGAAAAGAGGATGCTAATGAAATTCCTGGCTTTTTGTTTAGACTATGAACAACATCCTGATGAATATCAAGCTTTCATGCAATGCTCATTTTCAGAGTACTTAAAAACTAAAAACTTGACCCCTAACCTCCAACATTTTGTACTACACTCAATTGCAATGACATCAGATTCATCTTGCACTACAATAGATGGCCTCAAAGCAACAAAAAACTTCCTTCAGTGTCTTGGACGATTTGGCAACACTCCCTTTTTATTTCCTTTGTATGGCCAAGGAGAAATTCCCCAGTGTTTCTGCAGGATGTGTGCAGTTTTTGGTGGCATCTATTGTCTTCGCCGAAAAGTACAATGCCTTGTGGTCGACAAAGAATCTGGAAGATGTATAGCAATTATAGATTGCTTTGGTCAAAGGATAAATGCTAAATATTTCATTGTGGAGGATAGTTATCTTTCTGAGGAAACGTGCTTGAATGTGCAGTATAAGCAGATATCCAGGGCAGTGCTCATTACAGATCAATCTTTACTAAAGACTGATTCAGATCAGCAGGTTTCCATTTTGATAGTGCCACCACTGGAACCAGCAACTTGTGCTGTTCGGGTCACTGAATTATGTTCTTCAACCATGACATGCATGAAAAATACCTACCTCGTGCACCTGACCTGTTCATCTTCCAAAACAGCAAAAGAAGACCTAGAGTCAGTGGTAAAGAAATTGTTCACCCCATATGCTGAAACAGGGGAAGACAAGGAAGAACTTACAAAGCCAAGAGTCTTGTGGGCTCTTTATTTTAATATGAGAGATTCCTCAGAAATCAGCAGAAGTTCATATACTGGCTTACCTTCCAATGTTTATGTCTGCTCTGGACCTGACTGTGGGCTGGGAAATGAGCATGCAGTCAAGCAAGCTGAAACACTTTTTCAGGAGATCTTTCCAGGTGAGGAATTCTGCCCCCCACCTCCAAATCCAGAAGACATAATTTTTGATGGTGATGGTAAGCAACCAGAGACTCCTGGCACCAGTAACATCATAATGGTCGAACTAGAATCCAATGAGGGAAGCAAAGACCTTGAAAGCTCAGAGAAGCACTTTCAAAATTAGAAAAAGCCTTCATCTTGGCATCAGAATATTCTCATTTAGAGGATAGTTTCCTGAGTAATTAGATGTGGTTATTACAATGACTTCAATGTAGGTACCATCTTTAAGTTCTCTTGGAGACATTTAGTCATTGGATGTCTCTATTAACCTATTAGTAACTGATTTATTGATAACTGGACTTTTTTTTAAGCGGAATGAGCTCCATGATCCAGAATCTTAAAATAGATTCACTTTCTTTTAGTATATGTTAGCAGTTGTGCTAAAGAGAAGGTATTGTATCTGCTAACAATCTTCAGATTTTATCACTGTCTACAGAAAAAATAATATCTAAGAATATTTTACTTTGGCAGCTATTATAGTTACCACCTTTGAACAGTGAAACGCAAGAATAAAATATGTGGGTATTTTGTGCATAATATAGGTATGTAGATTGGTGGTGGCAATAACAACTTATGCAAGTGCCAATGATATAATACATTGTCTGTGATTATTAAAAGATTATTTTTGCATGATTCTTTATTTGTGAAATCTGTTGTTTAAAACAAATCTTACAGTTTAATTCTCCTAGCTGATCTTTGTAACTAATCACACCACAGTCTTCATTACAAAGAGAATTCAGCAAGCAATTGAAGAGCTTTACTACACAAACTTAAAAAAGAATAGAGTACAAATGAGAAGGTACAAATATCAGTTCTTAGAATATTACACTATCCTAATGTTAAAAATACAAATTGAAAGAAATTGGAGCTAGTTCTTGCTATTTTATTTGCAAAAGAATTTTAATTTGCATGTGTCCTCATACCAATAGCATTGTTATATTAATACTTTTAAAAATAATTATATAGATTATTCTATCAAGAGTTGTATAACCAATCTAATATTTCATACAATTAACTCCCTCTGAGCAGTATATGCTCAAGAATGTATTTAAAGAGAAATAATCTCCTTGTGCAGTGTTTTTTCTAGTAATTTCATTCATGCAGGGTTTTACGTACATGTATATATGTGCTGGTGTTACCAAAATTGCAGGTCTTCAGGCCTAGTCTCCCAGCCAGGAAGGGATCCCAGGCTGCAGTGGCAGCGCTGAGTCCCAGCCACTAGACCACCACGGGCTGGTGTCTCACAAAACCGCTGCAGGAATTTCGCAGACGCTCAGGCAAGCAAACAAGAAGAGGCAGGTTTGTTAGAAAGAAAAAGTTTATTGAGGAGAAAAGGAACAGAAATAAAGTGGGACTTCCAGGCTGGTAGAACCAGGCCAGAGAGGGGCAAGGAAGTCAAAGTGGAGTCGTGCCTCAGGGAATATATACTTTCTTTCCCTATTTATTCTAAACCTCCACCAGTCTCTCTGTGATTGGTTAGTTCTCAGTGGTCTCACTCACTGCCTAAATGCCTCTGTGCCCAGAACTAAGTCTCCTTGTCCCAGTCCTTATCTTTTTTCATTATCACCCTTGTGGAGGAATGTCCTGTTATCCCCTAGTCCTGGGGTGTGTGATTAGTCCCCTTTGGAATTTGTTGCCCTTATCTCTGGAGACTTCCTTGACTCTCCTGCGGTTTTTCCTATTCTATTCTGACCATAAGGGCTCTCCACTTGCCCTGTGCCTCAGTGGAAGGTGTTATCAGAAAAAAATTACATAAGCAGGCTGGCAAGTAAAGCAGCGGAAGTACCTGAAAGGGAACATCTGGTGATGGGGGCACAATGCTGTGATTTTAAATAGGTCAGTAAAGACTGCACTGGGGAGATGATAAAAGACCAGGAGGCTTGAGGGAGAGTACAGTAGAAGTGGACTTTGGACAGGTTGTCTAGAGCCTTCTAACATAGTCTGGGACAGAGAGCTATGGGGGTTAAGGAGCGGGAAGCCTTATCTGAGTTATACTGTAAATGTTTAGCCTGGCTTCTGTGTTGCAGAGCTATAGTGGGAAGGAGAGAAAGCAACGATAATGGTGGTAGCTTGTTAGGATGGTATTCTCAACCTTTGTTTTTCTTTATTGACCCCCCATGAGTCTTTTAGACATTGTTTTTCCTGATTGCCCTGCTCTGTATAACATTATTATACCCCAGACATATTGTGTACTTGATTTGAAGGTAGGAATCCTCCCTAGCACCCCCTCCCCGACCTCCATCTCTCAGTCTCTTTTGTCTGTGTATCATGCATACATAGCAGTTAAAGCATCGTGCATATGTATAAACCATTTTTCCAAGTTATTCCAAAAAATAAAACCCAACATTACAAAAATAAGGAAATTATTGAGCCCCAGAACAATTTTGAGATTTGGTAACTGCATTTGACATTGTTCCTCAGAGGGTCATATTAAACTATGTGACATCAGCACAATTAATGGACAATCTTAAATCATTTCTCAGATAAAATAAGAAAAATCTCAAGTGATTTTGTCACAATCCTGTCAAGTAATAAAAGACTTTTTTCCCCTTATCACGTGATCCATTCCTTTTGAATAGTCATTTCCTGGACTTTTCCTAAAGTCATTTGAGCATAGAAATTAAACCATTTTATTAATATACTTCAACTACTTATCTTGGGGGTAATGAACATGCCTTCTGGATTTAAGAGGCTGCTCAGAGACATACTAGCTCTGCATGGAATAAATCTGTGATTCTTAATTAGTATAGTACTTAAGGCATGGGATTCATTCCACAGTTACTTATAGAGGGAGCTCTATACGTATAAAATCTTTCTAATTTGATAGATTACTCACAAATGAAGCAATGCCTTCTCCCCTCAATGTCAATCTATATCCATATTGATCTATTTAACATACTTTTAATCACCCTTGCTATTGATGCTAGTGTTGTTTTGCATCCCCAATTTTGGGAATCAGTTGTTGCTTCATAGCTAAAAAATGTGAGGCACTTTGCAAATCTAAGGGAAAACATGATTAGTAATGTGTAAAACTGTAAGGGCATGGTCATCAGGTTTAAAGACAAGTCACAGAAGTTAATACTTCTCCAACTAAACAACACATTATTCCACAGAGCAAGCTTTTTCAGGGGAAGAGGAAATATAGAGGGGATTATTGGATACAAATGACAATGAAACCCAGGAGATGGATCTGTGTTTAAAGAGTCAACACAAATTTTTAACCATAGTGGCAACTTGGATTCATTATTCTTGCCCTTTGTATATAGATATAAGTTAATAATCACACCAGTGTTTAAATAAGAATGTTAAAAATCCTAATTAAGTCAAATTTCAGAATCTGATGATAGTAACTCTATAATCCAAATCTCAGTGTAGAGCTTGAATAGGCTCTGAGAATAAGGTGTTTTTACAGATTATGAGTTAATATTTAGTCATACTTTCCAGTATGGTACAAGAACCAAAACAGAAACTCGGACCAATGGAACAGAATTAAAAATCCAGAGAGAAATCCATTTAGATATGACAGCTAATTTTCAACAAAGGAATTATAGTCATACAGTGGAGAAAAGATAGCCTTTTTAATAAATGGTACTAGGAAACATGAATAGTTACATGCAAATAAATAAATAAAACAAGACCCATATTTAACAGCATACACAAAAAGTCACTCAAAATTAATTAAAGACTTGGGCATAAGAGGCGAAAACATAAAGTACTTAAAAATATATATAGGGGGCATACTACATAATATCTATCAAAAAGATGTATTTGAGAGGACCTCCCCGGTGGCGCAGTGGGTTGAGCGCTGCACTATGAAGCTGTCCACAGTCTCTGCAGCATGGGTTCGATTCCTGGCGGGCAGGGGAGATACCCACATGGTGTAGCAGACCTCTCCTGCCTTGCCCTCTGCTCCCCTCAGCAGTGTCTTTGGTTCATCTGCCTGTTCTGCTCCTCGCTCTGTCTCTGGTGAATCCTCTCACCCTCCCATGCCTCTGACCCCAATTCTTGTATAAATAAATAAATCTTTTTTAAAAAAAAGATGTATTTGAGAATACAGTCACAGCAGCAAGGGAAACAACAGCAAAGATAAACAGGTGGAAGTATATCAAACTTAAAGCTTTTGTACCTCAAAAGAAAGCAAAAACAAAAAGGCAACCTACAAAATGGGAATATTTGCATACCAAATATCTGATAAGGCATTCATCTCCAATACACAATCTAACAACAGATCAAAGGAGGCAATTAAAAAACGGGCAAAAGATCTTAATAGATATTTTTCTAAAGAAGATATTCACATAACCTACAAACATATGAAAAAATGTTCAACACAATTTATTATTAAAGAAATTCAAATTAAAACCTCACTGAGATACCACCTCACCCCCATGAGAATGACCCATCTAAAATAGGATGGAATTAACAAATATTGGTGAGATTGCAGTGAAAAAGAATTCTTATTCACTATTAGTGGGAATGCAAGCTGTTAAAGCCCCTGTGAAAAATGTATGGATATTTCTCAAGAATAAAAATGGAAATTCCATTTGACCCAGCAATAAAGCTATTAGGTATTTATCCAAATAATATGAAAAATATAATAATACAAAATGATCAATCTATATCTATGTACACAGCAGCACTGCTTACAATTGCCAAATCATGGAACCAACCCAACTTCAACAGGTGAATTAACTCTGTAGCACATATTTCAACGGAATATTACAAGGAGAAACAGTGGCACTTGGGACAAAACAAACAGATCTTGAGGTTATTATGTTAAGTGAAATCATTCAAAAAGTGAAAGACAGATATAAATACCAAAAAAGAAATTACACCCAAACAATAGAAAAAATAAAAATTTGAACTTGGCAAAAAGACAATGGTTATCAGAGAGAATAGGGGAAAAGGTAGAGGAATTGGGAGAGGGATGCCAATGTGGTATGGACACTGATGGTTTGGCATAGGGAATTAAAAAAAAAAAAAGACAATTGTTTTGTGAGCCTGGGAAGTATAAGAAATTAAAAGCTTCAAGTACATCTGGATCTTTGAATTGGATCTCCCCACATGAAGTAATAGAAATATTTATTGACCACTGTTTTTGCACCAGGCACTGGTCTAAGCCAAAATAACAACAAAGAGAGAAAGAAAAAGAAGAAAGGAGGGAAAGAGGAGAGAGAAAGAAAGAAAGATCTACCATATGACACAAAGATACCACTCTTAGATATCTAGCCAAAGAATCAAAAAACCAAAAAACAAAAATATTGATTCAAATGTATACCTGCACTCATTTATTAATGCAGCACTATTTATAATAGTCATGCTATAGAAACAACCTGAGTGCCAAAAAAGATGAGTCAATTAAGAAGATGTGGTATATATACACAATAGAATATTACTCAGCAATCAAAAAGATATTTTCTGCAACATGGAATGGAGCTGGAAGGGATTATGCTAAGAGAATTAGCCACAAGGAGAGAAATAAATAGTGGGTGGTATAACTTATATGTGGACTATAGCTAAACCAAACAAAGATTCAGACAAAGAGAAACTTTAAAACCACCCTTTGAAAGCTGACCATAGATCTGTGGCTTTCAGAGCAGAAGAGGGAGTGGGAGGCGTGAGAACAGGGATGCAGGGAGTGTACAATGGGAATGGTACAAGACTTTGTGTGCTTCAGTGGTGGGAGAGCTGTGGTCACTACACCTGAAGGGGGAAAATTGTACCATATGGTTGTAACATAATAGTACTTTAATTAAAAAAAAGTAAAATTTGCAATAAAACAACAACAACAAAAAGACCA